TATATATATATATATATACAAGAATTTCTTGTTTAATATAACAAGATGTGTATATATATGTATGTATTTTTATCAAATTTGAAATTTCTTTGTTTCGCTAACAGGTGTGCTAACATTTACGATATTTCAAAGGCAGTTTCGAATACTCTGTAAGCAGTACAGGGCACTAGATATCAGGTTATTTTACATAGTCGACAATCCAAAGAGAAATTTCGGCGAAAAATCTCAGCAACATTTTCGAAAACTCTGTTATTAGCAACCAACTCAAGCCATATGTACATATGTACATTCATACAACGCTTATGAAAATGAATGTCTTGCATTGGAGTTGCATCCAATTTCGAAATTTCTGTGGGAGCTCATAACAGATTGTTAATTTCGAAGAGTTGGAGAGTAAGCGCGCTCTCCCTCTCTAGCTTGTGTATTGTCAATGTATGTGTGAGCGCCAAAACCCCACGTGCCATTCGGGTGCTCTCACATACATATGTATGTAAGTGGTCAACAAACCTTCTTTGCTGCTGCATTTAAGAAATGTAGGTAACATTGCAAGTGGTGTATCAGAAGAACAAGAAGAATAAGCACCTCCAGCAAGCTGTGGCATGGACAAAAGACGAAGAAGAAGACACAGAGTACCAAATCGCACGTACATACATTTTTGGAAAATATTCGACGATTAACATGTGGTCGTCTCTGCAACATTGCTTCTCGTCCGTTCGGTGTTGCTCCAGCAAACACAAGGCGGCAATTGAGCGCGCACCGATGTTTTTTCGTTGGGTCGTTGGTTGGCCGGTTTGCTGCTTGGTGCTGCATATTGGTGGATTGGCTTGCTTTGCTTGCTTGGTTGGTTGATTGTTGGCGCTGGCTCCCAAAACGAAGGCAGCGAGCGCGATGTGAATTCGGTCATTTAGTAGAATCGCGAGCTCAATACGGTGCACACGCTTTACACGGGTGAAATACGTAAAGCGCTCACATACGAATATCGAATAAAAACAGTGAATGTGAATGATGAATCTGGTGTTTTGGGGAATTACTCGTATTTATTGTGAATTTGTTTGTTAGCCATACATATTGTTGACCAAAAAATAATATGCAATAGCGTTGTGAGTAAACGTTACTTCAAATAGAACGAGTCGAACGACCATTTTCGTAGACGTGCGTTGTATGTGTGATTTAAAAAGTCGAGAAAAATTCGACGTAAACTTCAATGCAAGACGCGGTAATAACGTGTGGTATTTGCGGTTGATTTGACATTTCTTAGTGAGTATGTATTCCGGTATTTTGATACGCATGAAATATTTTCAATAAAAGCGTAAACGATTGAACGATTGGGTGCTGCGAAAGAGATTTGCGCAAATTGATGCGACATAAATAAAAACCAATATCAAAGAAGTGCCACATACTTATTACAGAATATACAAAATATACAAAAGTGCACAATACAAAATTTTATATATTTTTTTTGTGTAAGCATAAGCAAGTGCNTAAAAAGTCGAGAAAAATTCGACGTAAACTTCAATGCAAGACGCGGTAATGACGTGTGGTATTTGCGGTTGATTTGACATTTCTTAGTGAGTATGCATTCCGGTATTTTGATACGCATGAAATATTTTCAATAAAAGCGTAAACGATTGGGTGCTGCGAAAGAGATTTGCGCAAATTGATGCGACATAAATAAAAACCAATATCAAAAAAGTGCCACATACTTATTACAGAATATACAAAATATACAAAAGTGCACAATACAAAATTTTATATATTTTTTTTTGTGTAAGCATAAGCAAGTGAGAAAATCGTTAGAAGGAAACGTGTGTGTGTGTGTAGGTATATTTCTGTGTTTGCATTTGTGTCGGTAAGCATTCAATAGCATTCAGCAGCCGGAAACCTTATTCATGGCAAAAGTCCACGAAATAAGGATAGCAAACAACATTAGGAAGCTTATCAATGTTTAAAGTACAAAACCGCTTAACAAGATAATGNGTGTGTGTGTGTGTAGGTATATTTCTGTGTTTGCATTTGTGTCGGTAAGCGTAGACGATTTCCGTTTCCCTTATGTCTACGGTGCTGCAAATAATATATCGGACCGCAATGCAAAATGATTGAAGCGGCAGTTGAGTGGAATGAGATTAGTCAATAGAAGGTCATCGGGTCTTATCTATTGTATTGGTTTGGCATAAGTGCATTAGTACAAAGGTGATATCAGCTTATGTGTCAATATGTTTGTAATTTCTGCATTAAGAAATGATGACAACTTTAATTTGTATAAATTGATATAAAGTAAATTAGCGCACTAACATACATACATACATACATACATGTGGGTTGAAATAAAAAGAAAAAAATGAATAGCATTCAGCAGCCGGAACGTATGTGAGGTTGCATAAATTATTTAGTAGAGAGTAAAAACACTCTTATTTAAAAACGGTTTTCTTATTTAATAAGCAATCGTATTAGAAATATTTCAGTACAAAATGGATAAGGCTTGAGCTAAAAGCTTCGGTGATCAAACCCAATTTTTGGCAAGAAATGTCAGTTATTGACATTAATGACATCCCTAACGAGGGAAACACAAAATTATGTTTAGGTAAACAAAGCTTCAGTACACACATACGTATGTACATATGAATGTACCTACATATGTGTCCCAACGGAAAAATGCTCNTTTGGCAAGAAATGTCAGTTATTGACATTAATGACATCCCTAACGAGGGAAACACAAAATTATGTTTAGGTAAACAAAGCTTCAGTACACACATACGTATGTATGTACATATGTGTCCCAACGGAAAAATGCTAATAAGCATGTTCATTTCATTTAAAGTGTTTTCAGTTAAATATTTTACTCTAATAGGTATGTATGTACAAGGATATGAAGACAATAACTCTGGAATCAAAGCAGGTCTTCGTGATCGACTGGTTATTACACGTTTCAAATCGGATCAAATGAAGTAAAGCTGTTTCTTTTCAATACAGTTTATTTCAGAAGCGTATTACTCGTGACATACATGCACGTACTTTTTATTCCATTCAGTTTAGACGACTGACATATGACGTAATTTTCTTTGTAAGCTTTTCGATCCGTGAACGGATGTTACGATTCGAGCCCAGTTTCAGAAATTAAAGTTGAAGGTGTGACTGCAATTGAAAGAGCAAAAATCGATTTCGGAAATATATTTCAAAAATTGCTCGTGCTGCACTAACAATTTCTATTTCTGCTCTAAGTGTTGTCTAGNTGTGACTGCAATTGAAAGAGCAAAAATCGATTTCGGAAATATATTTCAAATTGCTCGTGCTGCACTAACAATTTCTATTTCTGCTGTAAGTGTTGTCTAATTAATCGAGTGTTGCCGTGTGACACTGATCATGAGCTTGTAAGAAATAATAACGGATAATGTATATAAAATATCAAAAATGCATTTAAGTAATTATTTTTCGGAATTTATTTGTTCAGTTCTAAATAATAAATTAATCTTCTAATTGGAAATAATGTTAATTATAAACCAGAGAAATAACAAACAACCAGCAAAGTGGCTCACGGTTGCATTTCAGTATCGTTAAGGATTGTCAGAAATTCATTTGCTATCTGAACAGCCAAAAAGTGCTCTCAGAAATTTTACCTTCAATTCGCCTTTCAGAAATAAAAAAAAAACTCGTTCAAAAGACACTTCACATGCAACGTGTGGTTGCTCATGCAACTATTTTTTTTTAATTTTCTCAATTTGACCGCCTTTTCGAAATATATGTCATTGTTACATCTGACACGCTCTCTAGTATTTCAAAATGAAAATTCGTACCGAGTTGCATTCGTTCTCTACTGCCGTGATTTGGGCCTATTTTTCATTAGTTAGAAAGAAATCTGTAGTATCTGTAATCTGTAAAAAGTCTAAATTGGCAAAACGTGTGCATGTGAAACCTTTTTTTGTTTACAAAAAGCTAGTGAAAATCAGCTTTAGGATCGTTCGCTTAACTCAGGAGCGCAAACGTTGATTTTTGAGCCTTGCATATTTATGTACCAATGAAGAAATTCTCACCATTTTTAATACATTTTATTATTTTTATTCATTATAATTTTTAACTGAAATTTTTTTATTTTTCAAACTGCCTGCTATGATATCTAAACAAGCAAGGACAGTGTCGAAGGCTTTATACCTTTCATGCACATCAGAAAATTTCACTTCAACCGGTTAGTGCATAAAAAAAAAACTCACACCTTATAAAGCACCGATCTAAATGATCAATGCAGCTACTGTGTATAATTGATATGTAAACCGGTAATACAATTTAATGGTTTTAGCTGCTTGCATAACAAAGTTATATGTATGGCAAAAACTAGTACCTGAACTAGTGATACATACCAATCGATTACTATTTTCACCGAAACTCAAATTTGAAAATTAATTTTTATTTGCACTTTTTATGCAAAATTAAAAAAAAATATAAATTTTGGATTTTTATATTATAAATCCAAAATAACAATCATTTTTGTATTTTATATTATATGTCCCAGAAAACAGTTATTGAAGACTTTCATATAAAATGGTCATCGATAAAAATCAGTCAGTGACTTTTACTTTTTAAATCATTCGTATAAAAATAATTAACATTTTTCTCAGTTAATAAGGTTTTGGGAAACAAAAGTTTACTACGACTTATACAAATGACTTTTATAAGTATGATTTAAAAAATAGATTATATTTATTACTTTTATAAATAAAATTTTTCGATAACTTTTATCTAAGACATATACCGTTTCACAGGTCCTGGGTTCAAGCCCAGCTTCCGACCAACATCAACAAATATAAACATAAAAAAGTGTTTTTCTAATAGCGGTTACCCCTAGGAAGGCAATGGCAAAGCTCCCATGGCAATGGTAATAAGAAAACGACTCATTCAGGCGAGTTGCCTTCGGGGAACGTTTTATTACCGGCAACCAATTTGTTTCTGCGAGCGAGACGTTTTCTTTCTGCCGGAAACAAAAATTGTTTGATGGGTTTCTTATGAAATGACTTCTTATAACTTCATGTATAAGTATAATTTTCTCNTGCCGGAAACAAAAATTGTTTGATGGGTTTCTTATGAAATGACTTCTTATGAAAATCATGTATGAGTATAATTTTCTTATTATTTAAATATTGACTATTTTAATGTTCTCTGCATTCGAAAAGACAATTTTTAAATTAAACACATGAATAAACCAATAAAAAAGAGCACTGAAGTATTATTAAACGCATTGGAATAAAACTGTAATTGAAATTGAAAGAGAATTTGCAAATTCATTGAAAGCAAAAATATTATCAAAGCAAGCCAAAAATTCTAGCGTAAGCACAAGAACCAGTGCCCGAGGAAAGGTATAACAACCTAAAAAGCAACCTCAGCCTAGGGTCGCCAACATTTTCGAGGGTATTTAGAGTACTTTTGCAAAAAAAAATTGGAAAAAATATAGTACACTTTGAATATATATAGTATTTTATTTAAAAGAAAAAGTAAAAATGATTTTTAAGTGATGGAAACAGTTCTTCCTGAGAATGCCGAGGTTGTTGGAACAGAGAGTAGAAATGAAATAATTTTAAGTAATTTTTTTAATTCTTTCTCAGTGTTAAAAAAATATGTTATCTTTTTTGATTATAAACTCACAATGACCTTTTACTTTAAAGAATATTTCATTTAATATTGTTATTTCAGTATAAAGGTCATCCATTTTTAACCGACTTCCAAAAAAGGAGGAGGTTATCAGTTCGTCGGAATATATATTTTTTTTTTTTTTTATGTATGTTACCGCATAACTTTGCACCACGTCAACCGATTTCAATAATTCTTTTTGCGGAAAGGTAGTGTCTCAGAGGTGGTCCCATACCAAATTGGTTTTGATCCGATCATTGGATCATGAAATATATAGATATAAATATATTTTTTTTAAGTCGGTTTTTTTTTTTGCTAAAAATTACTTGTAATATACACTTTTCGTACAAACTACTGAAATATATTGATATTTATAATTGAAGAAATATAGTATTATTGCGTACTATATTTTTTTCCAACAGTATATAGTACGCCGACCGGAAAAACAGTACAATATTATATATTATAGTTCGGTTGGCAACCCTACCTCAGCCTAGAATAAAAACAATAAAACTTATAAAAAAATATGCTAGTCGTCTAGTGAGCTGATGGGCTCATCGAGACTGCCATTTCGTTCTGCTTCTTTTCTCGCCGACTCTGCAGAAGAAAGTCGTTCGTTCTCGCTTATTTTCGTTTCGTAATTGAAGTTTATGGCATAAAAGAATGCAGGAAGAAGATAAAAATAAAAAAAACTAAGCACCATAAGAAAAAAATCGAAAACGTTCGGCAAAAAGTTTATACTCTTTCATACATACATACATACATACATACATTTATGTATTTCTAAAAGTCTCAAAATGAATGTGACTATGGTAAAGGTCCTTTATATTGTATAGGTACGTGTGTGTGGGCTAGCATGTAAAGCTGAATAAGCGAGCGGACTGTTCTACCTCCAGCCCACCACTCGTTTATGTTTATACTTTTACGGCATTCATAAGCTTGGCAAGCCCGCATAGTCTGCCATCAAACTCAGTGAAGAGGACGTCTGGCACGTGGCTTATAAATCAATTGACGTTATGGTGCTCAGACTGTACATAGCTCACCCTTATAAAGTTAACCACAATTTACTCTGTGCTGCCGCAATTGTTGTTGATTAGGTTTCCGCGCTGGGCAATTTGTTAGAGGATTTTAGTGATATTTGTCAGCGTGATACGGCGGTAAATAACGCTTTTCTTATTTTGCATGCCATTTTTTGCGTAAAGATTTAACTATCTCAAAATTGGGTTTTGCTTTTTAAGTTTTGATTTTTTATAGTTTTTGATATAACATAAAATGTGACTCAAGATGCGTGCATCAAAAGTTTGTTTATATTTTCGGAAGATAATATGCTTTTGCATAAGTTACTTATGCAAATTTTCTCTTACTTAACGCCTTTACTAGCAAATAAATGTACATTAGTGTGCGGCGTATTTGTATGGAAACAATTCTTTTAAGCTACAAAACAAGACCCCTTTAATTAGGTTTGATTGGTCACAGTTTTGCCCGAGGTTTTTTTTATTTTTTAATTGTAGATTTCCGAAAAAAACTGTATTCTCGACCATAAAACTATAAACTTCTAAAACGAAAAGTTTTATAAAAATCAGGTTTTTTTATTTTTATTGAACATAAATCAAAAAAGATTCGTTTTAAATAAAATAACATAAACCTTTTGAATTATACCTAATTGAACAAATAAAATGGACTTTATAAAATGGATTTTTTAAATAAAATTTTGTTGGTTTAATGAAATTTAGTTTCACTGTTTTTTGTAGCTTACCTTGTTGAATTTTTAAGCATTTGACTCGATACCCCAAATTTTGTACCTCTTGAGGTATTTCTTTTAAGAAATTCCTAGTTCTAAAAATACCAAAGAGTGCTGCACACTCGAGTTCATTTTTGTTTTATTCAAATTGATTTGTCTCCACATTAGCTGTGGCGCTTGGAATGCAAAGTACAGCTGAAAAAATTTTGTTCCAGATAAGGCAATGCTGCTCTTTCATCGACTCCTGTTTAAATTGTGAATACGGCTACATTGATTTGTCATAAAAAGATATCCAGCGACAATTTAAAACAATATATGTATATAACTTCGCGGTGATTTATAGGCAATAAAAATTTCATGAATTTGCGCAACATTCGGCAATGAGGTCAATTTTTTCCAATTTTTTTTTTAATTTTGTTTCGCAGACTAAACATTCTTTTAACCAAACAAATTTTTCTAGGTTCGAGTCCTTTTTTCTTAGGTCAGAGTTGAAAAATAAGGTGCACACTAATGTACATATATACATATGCATGTAATAACGCACCAACCTTAAATATGGCGCGGAGTGCTTCCGAAGCAATAACTACATGTACCCGAATGGACAGGACGCTTTAAAATTGAATGCATAGGATTCGCTTGTAAACTAAAAAAGTAAACAAACATCCAAACGAAAAAAATAAAAAGCAAACAACAACACTTGTGAAACTAAAAAAAAAAAAATATCGTAAACATTGTGCAAAGTTTTGTGCAAAATTATATGAGAGAAATTTTTAAGCAGTTTTTCGCTTGTTTGCTTCGATGGAGGTCGTCTCTTTTTTTCTTTCGACTTTTATGTTTCGTTATACCAAATAGTTTCCATATTCCCTATTCGTGTTTGTTGACTTTGGCTAGGCGACGCTCGCTTTTGGTGTTCGTTAGCCGTAGTTTATAAAGTTGGAAAATTAACTTTCCCAACTATCTACTCAACTCGTAAATATTTTCTTTTGTAAAAACTATTGTACTTTTTTTTATAGTTTGTAGTAGTAAAACAGTATGCAAATAAATAGAATAGTATGCAAATTGGGAGCGAAATATTCGATAATGTATTTATGCTATGCTAATTGGCTGAAATATGAAAAACAAATTTTCAATGAGTTTTGAATGCCCTTG